CCCTGCCCATGGCAGAGGGTTTGGAACTAGACTAAAGCTTAAAGGTCCTTTCCAACCTAAACCGTTCCATGACTCTACAATAAATATCTCAGGCTCCAAACAGCACCTCCAGCATCCGTGGGGATGCCAGAAACACAACTGGTGCCTTCAGCAGGGTACCCAGCTCCCAATTCCAGCTGCAAGGAGCTACAGGTCACCAACAGAGCAGCCCCGGCTTTACACAAAGGTGGTTTTGCTGGAACAAAAGCAAAGGCCACAGAAATAGACTGGGTTTTTTTTCCTCTTTTTCCTGAGATATGACTAAACTCCAGAAGCAGGTAGTGCCTGGGCATCCTGCAAGCATCCTGCAAGCAGTGCTTTCAACATGAAGGAACAAAAGGCTGCGGTGGGGAGGAGAATGGTGGGAAACCTTGCGGGCTCCCGAGATTCATTTGAGACCTGGTGTTTGCAGCACAGGCTGTATTTCATCTTTTCATAAGTAAGTCTTACCAGGAAACATTACAAAAAAGGGGGCATTTCAAGGCAGAAAAGTTGGTCGCCAAACGTCATTTTATTTTATTTTTTAAACCCTTTGTTAACAACTCTTCTGGTGAGCAAATCCAGCAGAGGCAATACAGTGCAGCGTGCACTCCTAAATTAGTTTCCAGGCACTTGGGATGCTTTATTATTCATTTCCTCCAAATATTAGGTAATGCCTTTCACCCCTTTCAAAGTCTATACGAGGGGTCTTTGATGCATTGTGGGACTTGAAAGTTTCAGGTCTAAAGAAGCATTTCTTTTAAGTCCTCCCTTTTATCAAGCATATTCTGTTCTGTTCGCTATAATGCACACAATGGCATGAGAGTCTTGACCTGCTTCATGTCTGATGAGTTGAAATCTCAGATGCATAGGATAAAACAGCCATTCCTAGCAATACAGCTTAAACACTTAGGGCTCTATTCAGGCAAATATTACCCAGGGGTCTGCCACGCCACTGAAAAGCTGCAGAAATTGGCTCGGCAGACGGCTGACCAATTCAGCAGTGAGAAATGACCCCGCCACATTAACTCCCCTTCTCATTTCACCCTGGGCGAGCCGGGGTCTGGAGGTAAGCGTGGCAGAAGGCGAGAGCCGGCTGAAGCCAGATTCATTTTCTTTATATAAAGTATTTTTGTGTGCGCGTGCGACCATGAATGTCATTATGCGGATCTGCAAGGGAAGGGGAGTAATGACATTAGGGCACGGGCGCAGGAATCGGGGAGGTTTTTGTCTCACAGTGACACCGGGGCGCTGTCACGTCTTCTGGACAAGCAGAATTTGCAGGCTTTGAGACGCTGCAAATGTCTTGGAAAAGCAGGTCTCTGCCTCTGCTGAAGGCGTGTGGACTCTGCTGGGTCACTTCACACCACCCAGCATCAGTCTCCTCCATGTGTTAAGCACAATTAATGCCTCTTGTTCCACAATAATTTACCCTGTTTATAGGTTTTTGTCATCCTGTTTTTCCTTCTTCATACTGCAAGCTCACTTAAGAGATGGCTCCTTTCCAACAATACACTGCACCCAGGGTAGGGATGCAAAGTAAAAGTTTCTATTGCAAAAGCAAATATATTTTGGTACAAAATGCCATGTTTTTGTCCTTGAGACAGTCACACCAACATGTTTTTACAGAAGTACCAAGTCGCTATTTTAGGAAATTCATCTCCTCTTATCAATCTCCTCTTGGCAGGTTAGAACTAAGAAAAAATTTTTAAGAGGCAATCTGGAAATGCAGGGGTAAAATTCAATGTATGAGCTGGAGAGTTCCTAAATGGGCTGAAGATGCCGGAATTTTCCTTGCATGTTTGACACCCTAGCAGCAAAAGATGCCTCTAGAACAAGTCAGAAAACAAGGGTTCAGACTATATGGGAAGGTGTTTGTAAAAGAGCCAGGCCCTGGTTTTCTGACTCCTCTTGCCTGCCGCAGTGCTACACCCTGGTATGACCTGCAATCCCACCCTGTCAGCCTGAGACCAGCCTTGATAACCCCAACATTTCACTGGGAAAAACATTTCTTAATCTATATAAAAAGGAAGAAGCTCATCTTGCATGAGTAAAACCCAGCTATGCCCTTCCTGATACTGGCAAAACATCCAGCAGCACCTCCTGTGAAATGGGAACATATGCTTTTGCAGGCCCTAGCCCTGGTGTGTGTGACTTTAGGATTAGCTCTAAAAACAAACCAGATCCACAAGGATTTAATCTCCCAACCCAGCCACCTCCTCCAGGATGCTGCAGACCTGGAGAGCACAAGCTTGATTTTTGAAGGATGCTGAGCATCCCCCTCACAGCTGGCATGGCAGTAGCAGCAACAGGTAACAAAAATAACATGAAAAAGACTGGACAGGGCTTTGAGCTACCTGGTATAGTTGAATATGGTATATGTTGCTTATTGCAGCGGGGTTGGACAAGATGTCTTTTAAAAGTCTCTTCTGACCCAAACTATTCTATTCTATTCTATTCTATTCTATTCTATTCTATTCCTATTTCTATTTCTATTTCTATTCTACTCTAATTATTCTACTCCCAGCTCTCACATTACCCACCTGGCTAGGAGGCTTTTTAGGAGCCCTCTGAAGCATCCTTATTAAAATACTATCAGGACACACATGGTCTGTGCCCCACATGTATGTACAGTGCTGGTCTGCCAAAGGCAGCTGACAAGTCATCACTGTGCTTGCTACAAACCCTCTCAGCCAGTAAGAAAACTCAAACAATGTGAAGATTTATCAATTCTTTCAGTGGAGACAACAATTCTATTCCTTTTGAGGTAAACGAAGGGTTTTTGCTTGGGGACCCTGTCAGGAGCAGAAGGCAGCACAAGGATGGGACCCATCACTCACCAGTCAGCAGAAAGATGCTGACAGGGGTGTCTGCACAAATTTTTAAGGAGCCTGAAACAGCTCCTTTGAGAGAGGGAGACTGAAGAAAAGAGGCAAAACTGCAGGAGAAACAAAATCTATTTGTAAACCCCAGGCAGAGTTGACACAAGGCAGCTGGCACAGGAGTGCAGAGATGGTAATGGAGCCTGATGGATAGTTCAGAGGATTATCAGATACCCTCCAACCCAAATATGCTGAGGAACCAATTATTTAATGCTAAAGACAGCGCAAACGGATGCTTAATAAGCTGCATCAGTTCAGGATTGCTGGAGCTCAAGGGGCCAAACCCCCACTGGTGTGAGCCTGGAAAGCCAGCACGATGAAATACCCAATGCTTCAGATACACACTGGCCCTGCCAGTCCTCACCACCCCTGCCAGAGGCTGGGGGCATGGAGGGGGAGCAGCTGGAATTTGGGAGCAGATGGGTGCACGTTCACCGCCCCAGGCTGACAGCACTCAGCCCTGCAGCAGCCTTGCTGGCTGCCCTGTTTGCAGGAGAAGGGGTTGCTGTTCTCAGGAACAGTCTGGGTTTTTCTCCTAGCTGATTGCAGAGGCAGCAGGGAAGCTGTAGGAGGTGTGGGAGACAGAAAGGAGTTTAGTCTGTGCTCCAGGCACTGATTAGAACCTGTTTCGGAGTCAGGGATGATTCCTGTGAGCAAAGCATCCCCTCTCAAGCTCTTCTGCTGGCAGGGGTGTTGGGGGAAAACGGGGTCTCAGCACCCTCCCTGCCTTATCAGGAGGTGACCCTGCAGACACACCATCCCTCACCTGGGCTGCTCTTGCAGCCAGAGAGGAAGGACAGACTCCTGCTCATCCTCACATGCTGCCCAAACTAGATCAGATGGAACATGGCATAAAAACATCTCCACTAACTATAAAGGGCCCCTACATTTTTACATGTCTGAAGATTGCTTCCTGAAACCACGTTGTGTAAGTTTCTCCCTTCATTTACACTCAAACTGTACTACAGCAGCTGAGGTATGTCTTAAAAATCTCCATTTCCCCATGATCCAACCTCCACCAGCACTGCCCCTGTAGTCCAGGTGACAGCAGAGATGCAAGAGTAGGTGTAAGAAGGAAATTTTTTATGATGAGGATGGTGAGGTCCTGGCACAGGTTGCCCAGAGCAGCTGTGGCTGCCCCTGGATTCCTGGCAGTGCCCCAGGCCAGGCTGGATGGGGCTTGGAGCAGCCTGGGACAGTGGGAGCTGTCCCTGCCCATGGCAGGGGGTTGGAATGAAATGAGCTTTAAAAGCCCCTTCCAACCCAAACCACGGTTCTACAGTTCTGTGACAGCCCAGCCCCAAGATGCTCCTCAGCATCCATCACACATGCACAGAGGAAAGATGTGGGAATTTGGTCCCTGAGGGATGGGAACCTGCGGGGGCTCACAGCATGGCTCTGCTGAGGGTTTGGCCAGTGTAAACCAGGAAGTTCTCATGAGAAGATGGTGAAAAAAAACCCCAGCCTCCCACCTGACACAATGCAAAATATCTCAGTTCAAAAACATCAGCTCAGGGTCTGGCTCTGGCATATCTGAGCTAGCTCAGATGATAAAAAAAGGATTCTCCTTTCTTCCTATTCAAGACCTCTAGGCAAACATCCAAGTCCCAGCCTCCTGTGTGACAGCTGCAGAAAACAGGTCTGGAGAGGACCTTGAACTGCCACCCAGATCGCAGCCCCGTGACTGGGTCTGGACGGGGCCAAGCACAACAACAGCCAAAAGCACTCCAAGCATGAACAAATATTGTTGCTTGGTGCACTCCTGTGCAGCTGCCAGCATATCTGCTGCCTGCTCCTTCCAGCACTCAGCACTGAGAACACACATATTGATGAGAGCATCTTCCACGCATTTACAGGAAGAGCAATTAGAGGTTTGGTCGTTGACGACAGCAGAGAATCGCAGTGGTGGTGGTGAAGATGGTTTGTGCTGATCCATTAACACAGCAAACTACCTCCTCTCCCACAGGAAATCTCAATAACTGAAGGGCAGATCAGAACACCCAAGACCCCAGCAAGGTGGCAGGACAGTCACACAGCTCTCCCCAGTCTGCATCCTGCTTGCCAGCTCTCCCCACAAGGCTCGCCCCGGTGTGTACTCACCAGTACCCTTGGTTTTGTTTCAAAATGGTGATGCTCCTTTCGCTCCTCTGACCATTTCCTAGGGAAAAACAGAGAGAAAAAACACAAAACAAAACCCCTCATCAGATCCAGGACTGATTATGTGGTTAAGAAGGGCCAGCTCTGGAGAAGCCTCTGCTGGGACGATGAGAAAACAGAGCCAGGCCTGCTCCTGCTCTCCCACCACACGTGTTCCCAGGGTCAGTTCCTCTGCTCATTACCCTTCCCTGTACCACAAAATCACCTAGCAACACTGTGCCACGGAGGGGCAAGCCCACCCATCCTCCCCCTGTATCACATCTCCAGTGACAGCTGGGAGATGAAGGCCCCAGGAATGGATCACACTCTGGGCTGCTTCACCCATCCCTCCCCCAGATCAACATTACACTTTGGCCCCTCAGCATTGTCAGCTTATTCCTACACCCACAGTTCAGTCACCAGTGGCAGCTCAGTAGCACCTGCGGTGCAAATCCACAACAAATCCATGTTCTGCACTGCTGGGGTGCAGAGATGAAGGTGCATGACCAACAGGTGCATGACCAGCATCCTCCCAACTCTGCCCATAAAAGTTCCCTGCCCCTCTCAGCTCAGGAAGACCTTTTGGAGAAATGGAGCTCTAGAGAAGCTCCTGGCCACCAGTCACACTTCTAAATGATGGAGACAGGGGGAGCCTGCATTTCCAGAAGCTGACAACTCCATGTGGGAGCCTCAGCAGCTTGGCTGGACTCAGGGCTGATGAAGGAGATCGGCAGAAGGATTTTTGGGTGCTTTACTCCACCTCAGAACAACCTCAAGGTGTGAGAACCCCACCAGCAGGTAGCAATATATCAACAGGGTCCCCTAGAACAATTTGGGGGCTGGCCCAGGCCTTCTCCTGGGTGAGGACAGGGAGGAAGACCATTGTGGCTATTACAACACTGGGAACGTACGATGCAGTAGTGCTCAGCTGGAAAATGCTCCTGTGGCTCAGCAGTCAGATGGAAATGCACTGTCTGCATGCCAAAGAAGCCATAATCTGGGGTATTTTCCCTAAAATGGCACCACCAGCTCACATCTGTCCTTGGACCAGAGTCCTGGACAGGGTGAAGAGGCTCCCTCCTACTCATGGAAGCTGCAAATGAAACTGGATCTCTCTGCCACAGATTAGTGGTGTGCAAAGCAAGGAACAGCCACCCATTGTGTGCAGTCTCTCTATTACAGAATCACAGAATCACACAGAGTTGGAAGAGACCTTCCGGATCATCAAGTCCACCCCGTTCCCTGACAGCTCAACTAAACCATGGCACCAAGTGGCACATCCATGGGCAAGGAGACACTGGTTATCATGGGGCAGCTGGAGATGGAGACACTGCCTTCTCTACCCCAGCTCCCCAAGAGGTTCCTGACTGAATCAATCACCCAACCATCTCTTTCTCTTCTCCAGGCAGCCCCTGAATGGGTTTACTAGTGCAGGATCCACGAGCATTGTTTCCCATTACTCATGACACAAGGAAGCAAATGGGATTCCTCTCCCAGCTTTTAGAAAGAGCCAACAATCTTGATTCAGCCTTTATGAGATACTCATTATTTTCATGGGGAAGTGTCAACAACATTTTCCAAGCCAGGCTGACACCTGGATGCCAGGATGGAGAAACCAACAGGCTCTGATCACCCTACCCAATCTATGACAGTGTTAAATTACAGCTCTGCAAATTTACTCAAGGAACGGAGGAAAACCATGAACAGCACCCTTTGTGATGGCCCCTAATTCTCCTTCTCACTGGCCTGAGGACATTTAAGCAGTCTGAGGACATTCATGGAGCACAGGTGAGTGTACAGCACGGAGTGGCTGCAGACCAGCCCCAGGGCCACGATCAGCCCCAAGAATGGGACTCCCCTGCAGCCAGTGAGTCCATGTGCTTTCAGGAGCATCCAGCTGCTGTGACCCTCCAGCAGGACCTCCTTCCTTAGCCAGCTCGTTAGCCTCCTTCCTTACTTCAGTTCATAACTCACAAGGAGCCACCACTGTCCTGGTCTAATGGCTTGTTTGCCACTCAACAGCCAAAAGAGATCAAAACCAGGCAAAGAGTTTAGTGCAAACATGCCCTCATTGGGCCAGCACCATCATCTTTGTTTGGGGCAAAATTCCCAGGGGAGGCTGCAAAAACCCTGCAATGGATCCTGGCTTCATGGCAGAGCTCATGAGCTCTGCTTGGGTCAGCACAAAACCTCCCCCAGCACCAGGGCAGGGGCTGGCACCACATTTCCCTTGAGAAGTGTTGGGTTTCAGCTCTAACTTGTGCCTAAAGCCTTCTTCTCCCCACAGGTCCTTCACTGCCTTGCTCCCCAGAGCAAGGGGAGCTCAGCTTGCAATTCAACACGCTGTTGTGGGCAGGTGGGGTTGGTGTCTTCTCACAAGCAACAGGACAAGGGGGAACAGCCTCAAGGTGAGCCAGGGCAGGTTGAGATGGGATATGAGGAGAGATTCCTTCAAAGAATGGGCTGTCCAGCCATCACACAGGCTGCCCAGGACAGTGGTGGAGTCCTCATCCCTTGAGGGATTTAAAACCCATGTGCACATGGGGGGACAGGGGTCAGTGGTGGCCTTGGCAGAGCTGAGATTATGGCTGGGCTTCTCCAAATAAATGATTCTGTGATTCTATAATTCCACCTAAAACAATTCAAAGCCCTGTTTGAGGCGCAGCAGAATTCTCATGGGGCAATAAATGGGAGTTCCTGGGCTAAGAAAAGGCTGCACGTGAATCACAGTTTCCTCAACCCTCCAAGAGGGTTTCAGTTTCATCAACCCTGCAAGAATAAACACACTCATGATCCACCCTCTGCACCAGGGGATGCCCTGATGCTCTTGTAGCAGTTTCCAAACTAGGATGGGCATTGCTGAGGGCAGCCCAGGCTTCATTCTGCCGTTCCCAAAGCACACGTGCGATGAGAGGCTGCAAATCAACCAGGCTTGCCTGTGGCTTCCCCTTCAGCCACAGGGCCCCTTTCAGCTTCTCGGGGTGGTTTGCAGAACGACTCGGACACGCCCTCCTGCAGATGACATTCAGATTTCTAATTACCCTCCCTGGGTACATCACTGTGGGTGGGTGTGCCGCATCAGCTCCCTCACGGGGCTGCTCCTCTCACCGCGTGTCCCCAGCAGTGGAGCTCCTGCCCCCTTCAGCACACTGACCTCCCTCCCCATCACCTGGCTGGGCTGGGCTGCTGGGCTGGGAGAGATGGTTCCCAAATAAACCGGTGATCTGGAATGCTTGCCCTGCCCTTGAGGCCAGGCCCACGCGAAGAAACCTCCATCACAGAATCACAGGGCAGTGCGGGTTGGAAGGGACCTTCACAGCCATCTGGTCCAACCCCCTTACCATGAGCAGGGACATTTTCAGCTAGACCAGGGGGCTCAGAACCCTGTCCAGCCTGACCTTGGATGTTTCCAGGACTGGGGCATCCACAGCTTCTCTGGGCAGCATGTGCCAGTTTTACCACACTCACTGTAAAAAAAACTTCTTTCTGAAAGCTGATCTAAATTGATTCCACTTCAGTTTAAAACCATCACTCCTTGTCCTATTGTAACACACCCCGTTAAGTTTGTCCCCATCTTTCTTCTAAGCCTTCTTCAGGCACTGCAGGGGCTCTGAGGTGTCCCTGGAGCCTTCTCTTGTGCAGCTGAACAGCCCCAGCTGTGCCAGGCTGGCTCCAGAGCAGAGGGGCTCCTGGAGCGTCTCTGGACATTCCAACAGGTCCATGTCCATGCTGAGGACACCAGAGGTTTCTCCAGGGAACAGCCCTGTCCTCAACAGAACAAGCACTCATGTATTTCCAGTGGCTTTCCAAGGCTGCCATCCATGCTCTGAGCAGCCAGCAGCTGGAATTCGGGTCACCTGGAGCACAGGATGGAGATGGAGATGGAGATGGAGATGGAGATGGAGATGGAGATGGAGATGGAGATGGAGATGGAGATGGACAGCCAGCACAGACCATGGGCATGCCCTCCCCAGTGTCCAGGCCTGGAGGTGGCTCCCAGGGACAGCCTGATAAACCCACACCAGTCCCTGGCACATCTGGCAGGGCTCAGCTCCAGCTAAGGCGTCTCAGGGGGTGCCCACACAGGTCCTGGCTTTAGCTGGCTTAATGCAGGTTCTCATTGCTACACTGGACTCCCTGAGCTAACCCAGACCCATGCCTGGCTTTTTTGGGCAGAACCCTGGGCCTGCATCCCTCCTGACTGACAGATGGAGACTAAGCAATGTGTCCTAGGGTAAAAGTGGACACTATGGCCAGCAGCTGAATTGTGGCTACACGTGTGGTGGCTGCCCCAGCTCTTACTGCTGCCATGGAGATGCAGTTGGCACCATTTTGGGTGTTTGGGGAGCCATTCAGTTACCCCAACTTCAGTATCTCTCTTGGGGTGTGAAACACCCTCCAGACTCACTGGCCAAACATCCACTGACCCTAAAAGGAGATTGAGCGCCAAGTTAGTATTTTTATCTGCCACGGCAGCCTACCTCCAGCTCGTGGTCTAAGTTTCAACAGCTCCTAAATAAAACCCATTTGCATGGGATGGGGATGCCCTGCAGCTCTGCACCCTCAGGCCCCTGCTGTGATGAGCAGCACAATCCTGGCACATCCACACTTCCAGGATGGTTACACTGCTTGTGCATAATAGGACTGAAACAAGTAAATTTGACAAAGAAAGCAGAAAGAACAACTGATATGCAAATCCATGTCATAAATCATTCACCAAATCTGTTCTGCACTTTTGAAATAATCTTGGAGGGTGCTTCCCAAGTGCTGTTTGCAAACCCTCTGTTAATCTGGGAAGCAGATGCTTCTACAGTAGGCTGTATTACAGCATCTTCAAGAAATCCCCATCAAATGTTACTTTAAAATGCCCATGACTTTTGCAATCAGTTCTTTTTAAATCTTCTTGGCATGTCTGAAAACCAAACATCTTGAAAAAACCCCTTTGCTGTGATTCATCTGTAATGGGTCTAAGCCTGGGGAAGAGCTCATCTCACGTCTTTCATACCCAGGTGACCCCCAAAT